GCCATGGAGTCTGGAACTCAGGACTTGTGGGTTTGGGCACCATCACGCCACTTGGTTTGAAAGTTGATCCTCTTGCTGTAGAGTATGTATGCACAGTGTTTTAAATGCCCAGAGCTTGGACGGGGTCTACTGAACTCCACAATTAAAGAACAAGAACTTCTGACTGTGCTTCCAGCTGGGAATTCATTCTCCCCACCCCAGTTCTGATGATTTAAGCCAGACTGATAGATGCTCCACCACTGTGCCGTGTTCCCAGCACTTAGTATTTATTTTTGAGGCAGTATCTCATTAAGTGGCCCAGAGTGGCCTCCAACTTGTGATCCTGGCTTCAGCCTCCTGAAAATCAGGGATTACAGGTGTGTGCCCATGCTTGGTTAAAGCATACTTTTGTGATAGTGAAATGTCTGTGAAGTGCTTTTAGAAACCATAAAGATTGTGGGTTGTTGATGAAGTGCTTTCAGAAACCAAAAAGATTGTGGGTTGTTTATTATTATTATTCAATTTTCCATTTTAAATATTATGGTTGTTGTTGTACTTTAATAGATCAGAGGATTCCCTACAATCAAGATATTTCAGAAAGGCGAGTCTCCCGTGGACTATGACGGTGGCCGGACGAAATCAGACATAGTGTCCAGGGCCCTGGATTTGTTCTCAGATAATGCCCCACCTCCAGAGCTGCTCGAGGTACAGTGCTCCCCCTGGTGGTGAGGAAGTTTCCCATCTGCTGTGAACCCTTTTCAATTTACTACTTTTCATATCTGTCTGGAATTAGAATACTGACACTGTGAGCCAAAAGCTTACCTAACTGTCTAAAGAACAGAGTGGATTCAGTCACACTTGGGCTTTGGAGCTCTGCCCTGTAGCGTAGACGCTCTCGGGTCTCACAGCAGCACCGAGAGGGGAAACACATTCCTGTCTTCACGGCCTGTTGAGGAAACAGACACCAGGAGCCTCACACTGTGTCAATACCTTGTGCACAGACGTATGACCTGTGTGTACAGCTGTGGAGGCCAGCCTGTGCCAGGGACTGCAGTTTCAGAGACTGCTTAGGTGGCCGAGGAATGAATGATGGCGCCCACTTCTAGAGGGTTCTAGATGGCATGTCTGTGTGAGGAGGATCGTGGGGAAGGAGTCTCTTGAGTGTTGTGTTGCACAACTGCCCTGTCTTCTGTGCAGATCATCAACGAGGACGTCGCCAAGAAGACCTGCGAGGATCACCAGCTCTGTGTCGTGGCTGTCCTGCCCCACATCCTAGACACTGGTGAGCACAGGCTGGTTCTCTTGTGGCCGCTGGCTGCTCAGAGTGCTTCCTGAGTGAACTGACTCGATTTCACCTTCAATATTTGTTGTCTGTTAATCAGGGGCTGCAGGCAGAAACTCCTACTTGGAAGTTCTTCTGAAACTGGCTGACAAATACAAGAAAAAGATGTGGGGGTGAGTTCTGAGCCCAGAGTCTCTCCCCTCTGAGAACAGACGGGGTGCAGACCTTCCGCAGTGTGCGCCTGCGTGCGCCTGCATGTGCCTTGTCACTAGTTTGTTGCTTACCAGCCCTGAGACCCAGAGTGTGCACGTTAATCCAAGCTCAGGTGACAGGAAATCCACGTGACTCCGTGGACAGCCTTGTAGGATCTGAGCATGCACCCGTCCTGCACTCCTTTCTAAGATTTGGATGTAACTTCAGATTCTAGTCCCAAAAGCACCCCACCCTGAAGCCAGTGTGCTTTCCCAGGTGGCTGTGGACGGAGGCTGGCGCTCAGTATGACCTGGAGAACGCGCTGGGGATCGGAGGGTTCGGGTACCCTGCCATGGCGGCCATCAACGCACGCAAGATGAAGTTTGCTCTTCTCAAAGGGTCTTTCAGTGAGCAAGGCATTAATGAGTTTCTCAGGTAACTTTTCTTAGTTGTTTATTGTCTCATCTGTGGGGTTTTGTTGGTTTGTATCGTCGTGTGTAAGCCAGGTAGTAAGTGGAACTAGTTTGCATTTAAAACATAAGGAAGATAGAGCTTTTGAATCATTACTGTCTCCTGTGGCAGTCCGTCCACGTGCGTCTCCGCTCTCTCTCCCCACCCTGCTTGTCAGAGTGCACACTATCTGGCCTCGTTCTAACTGCGGGGTCTTAGGAGGTCGTGTCCCGCCCTTGGTATGCACTTGGTATTCCTGACCTCAGGTCAAAGCCCTTGGCTTGGAAATGTGTGAAAATGAGGATCCTCCTGCTGTGGGCAAGTGATGGGTTCCTCATTCAAAAGCCGGCTGCAGAGCTCTCCATCCTGCCCTGCTGGTCACCTCTTCCTCAACCCCTCCGTCATTTCCTGGGCAAATCCAAGGCATTGACTGAAGAGGTCACTTGTCTTTCCTCTTCCTGCTTTCTTCCTCGTTTATTTCTCAGCTGCCATGTGAAATGAGGGCTTTGAATTTCCTGCTGATACAAAAGTGGGTGGCCGGCGCTGTGTGGAGTGTAAGCGTGTGGAGTGTGTCCTGTAAGTGTGCCTGGACCGGGCCACACCGAGGCTGTTGCTTTCTGTAGACTATCAGTTGTGCCGTGCTAAACAACAGTGAGGGGATGTTGCATTAAAAACCTTCCTGTAAGTCCTCTAATATCAGTAAAACGTGAAGTAAAACTATACATTTTCCTCAAGCGTGGTAAAAATGGAACCCAGAGGAATGAATCTTTTTGTTTTTCAAGACAGGTATTTCTGTGTAGCCCTGGCTGACCTGGAACTTACTCTGTAGCCCAGGCTGGCCTCAAATTCACAGAGATCCGCCTGCCTCTGCCTCTCGAGTGCTGGGATTAAAGGCGTGTGCCACCCCCGCCCGGCTTAGTAATGAATTTGTTTTTTAATGGTTCTTTTTAAAAGTATTCTACAAAAATAAGTAGCATAAAACTAAAGAACCCAACGTAGAAGACAGGTTCTAGCCTGGCACGGTGGTGCATGCCTGTTGTCTGCACACTCGGGAGGTGGAGACAGGGATCAAGTTCAAGACCAGCCTGGGCTACAGTAGTGTACCACCAACAAAAATGCCCCCCAAGACAGTGTTCACAAACCCAGTTAGAGCTGGGCATGGTGGTGCCTGTAGTCCAGCAGCGGACAGAGGCCAGAGGACCAGGAATTCTCACTGGTAGTATTTTGAGTAGGCAGATTACAAGTATTTTTCAAGTATAGATATTCACGTCTTACTGGGAAGCGCTTTGTGCATCTACATTCGGGTTAGTTGAAACTGTTCACCTCACTAGTAATGTGCGTTTGTTTGTTTCTTAAAGAAACAACTTAGAAGTTGTGCTTGACTTTATGGGTGCAGGACACATTGTGTTTGACAGTTTGTTTGTTGACTGGAGTACATCTAGATGTGGTTGGTATTCTTCCCCCAGGGAACTGTCTTTCGGACGAGGCTCCACAGCACCTGTGGGAGGTGGTTCCTTTCCTGCCATCACTCCCAGAGAGCCCTGGGATGGCAAAGATGGCGAGGTGAGTGGCTGTGAGGGCTTCTCTCCTCAGCTTGTGTGTCTCTGTGCAGGGGAACAAAACCACCATCAGGCCGAGGGCTGTGCTCCTGCTGTCCTCCTAAAATCCTGGTCAGAGCTGCTGGAGGGGTGGCTCAGCAGTTAAGAGCACTGGCTGCTCTTCCGGCAGGGCCAGGGTTCAGTTCCCAGCAACCACATGGTGGTTTACAGCCATGTGCAACTTCAGACATGGGGACCCAGTGGCCCCCTCAGGCCTCCCTGGGCATTTCGTGCATATGGTGCAGACATGCAGGCAGGCAAAACACACACCAGTACACATAAATAAAATGTTTAAGAAATCAGAGTCTAAAGGTCACGGGAGCTTTGTTTCATACCTGTAATTCCACATTACACTACTTGAAAGGCTAAGGCAGGAGCATTGTCATGAGTTTGAGACCGGACTGGTTAAAGAATGGAGCCCTGTTTCAAAAACTCTCAGAAAGCCCAGGGGAGGCGCATGTCTGCAGTCAGCTGTGGGAACCTGAGGTGGGAGGATTTTGAAGCCAGCCTAGGCTACACTTATGAGACTTTGCCCTACACCTGTCCCACCCCCATCGCTTTGTCCAAGTTCTCTGGTTTTCCCTCAGTGTTAAAACTGGTACAAGAGCCAAGCTGTAACCTGGAATCCTCTGGAATTTGCTTTTCTGTTGAACCCGTTGGTCATTGGAGGCTCTAACATCACTTTCTGTCTCAGCTTCCTGTGGAGGATGACATTGACCTCAGCGATGTGGAGCTTGATGACCTGGAGAAGGACGAGTTGTGAGGGCCGCAGCCCAGCCTTCACGTTTCTTTTCTTGGGAGCAGGCAGTTTTCTAGCAGTGAGGTTCTGCTCAGCTGTCTGCCTTTCCGAGAAGTACTTGCCGGCCACTGGAAACGGCAACAGTGAACCTCGGCGTCTCAAGAAAACACTGAAGAATTCTATGAATTGTAGCAGTGAATTGGATTTATTCTTTGGCATATTGAAGAAAACTGGGCTGTTGAAACATTTTTCCCTCCTCCTGACTGCTGCTTGAATGTTCTTGGAGGCTGTTTCTTATGTATAGGGTTTTTAAAATGTGATTCTTTTGTTTGAATATTAATGGCTTTTTCCATTCAAGAATAAAATGATATTTTGGACAAAGCTGATAAATGTATGAAATTAGTGGCACATCATAAAATTGGAGTCTGACGTTTAGCCCTGAAAACTTACCCTATGAACAGACGACATCACATCAATCATCACCTCCCCGTAAAAATGTTTTTTTGAATGAAGACAAGACCTTTTGGCAAGGACGTGATTCTGTGTGGATAACTTGGTCCCAAGTGAAAACCACATTTCATGCCCCAAAGTCTTGTCTTCGGGCTTCACCAGTGACGATCAGGCTCAGGTTTTCAACATTCTCACTAATCTCCCACTGGAAATCCCACGAAGACAAAAGCCTCGTGGGGGACCAAGTTACAGGCATCTCACTATGTAAAACGCTCAGGAGAAAGTTGGGAGTTAGTTAAACACAAGGAAAGACTCAGAACTGAGCATTTTATTGTAACTTAAAAAAATAAATACACTCTTAACTAACGTCTGTGAGTATCTCGTGAGTCAGAATCCTGCAGGACGTGGTTGTCCGGCTTAGAGCACGGTCTGAGGCTGCAGTGAGACAGGCTGGCCACCTAGTCCAGAAGGCTGAGGTCGATGTGGAAGTACACGTAGGGGAAATAGTCCTGGTTGCTCAGCTGCAGTCCAGGGATTTCCACAGACGCCTATGGGGGGAGCAAGGGCAAGATGGTTCTCGTTTCTAAGGGAGCTCTCGGGTTCTGGCCACACACACATCTGTCCTGTGCAGCGGGCCCCACCACACCATACACCCCCTTGCTTGGAAGTCTGTGACTCAGTGCAAGCCTGTGGTGGCAGTGCGTCTGAGTCCCCACGATACCTACATCCAGTATGCTGGCTGCGGCGACCTCATCCAGGTGCCGGAAGACGGAGTTGAGCACCTCTCTCAGGCGCTTGGTGGCTGACTTTTTCTGGGGCTGCAGGAGTACAGCCTGGAAGTTCACTGGAAGTCCATACCTGTTCGGACAAGACAGACCACTTGGGGACTTAGTGTAAAGGCCAGCGAGACAGCCAAAGGCCCAGTACTCATGCCAGGGGGCTCAAGAGTGCCTGTAACTCCAGCTCCAGGAGACCCTGTAGCCTTTGGCCTCTTTGTGATTTGCGTGTGAAGTTAAGCCTGTAACCGACTGGCACAACTTAGGAAAACCAAGCTGTAAAAAGTAACTGGGCCAGGGAACCAAAGGCTAGAAATGAGACACTAAACCTCTGTACTGTGCCGACCATTTTCTGAAGGTCATAGCTTATGACAGAAACCACGAGCCCGTGGCCTGGGCCACCTGTGCTGGGTCCTTTGCATACTCAGTGGCACAAGCCACAGCTCTGAACTCGACAGGTCCCCATTCAGCTGTTACACGTGTCCACTAAAGGAGAGCAGAGGTCCTGCCGAGGTGTAATTCCTCTTGCTCAGTTTTTTGGGTGTGTAGAAAAGATTTTAAATCTCCCCAATCATTTCCTCAAGCATCACTGCCTGGGGTGTCCCGTACTCCAGAACACTATTCAAGTGTGTCACTGAGCCATGCCCTGGCCAGTGTGTCCAAACTCTGCCCCAGGCAGGTGTCCCTGGGTGCCTTGCTGTCACCTAGCAGCAGAATTTCCTCGTTGGAGTCTGCTGTGGAAGTGAGTCAGCTGGGATCTGTGGATGTCACCATCATGTCCACTCCTGAACCTTCCCAGTCTTTACTGTGGACAAAGTACCCCTGGAATATGGCACTGCCTTCCATTATGTCTGCAGAGGCCTCTGGTGCCTCTGCATTTTGTTGGCCAGAGAGGCCCCTCGTATTGCCTGCCCTTCCCCAAGGCAAGTGCCGTACTGGCCAGTGGGATCCTCTAACATGCAGGTAAGCCGGGGGGGGGGGGGGGGGGGGGGGGGAGAGGGGGGGAGCGGATAGCCCAGTTGATTTAGAGACAGGTGTTTTTTGCTCTTCTAACCCGGTTTGATCAGAGACTAAGTGATCCTCCTGCCTCAGCCTCCTGAGCCCCCAGTGCAAGGACCATAGGCTCATGCCTATGGTCATCTCATCCTAAGTCCTACAGATCTTTTCGCTTTTCTGCCAGTGACACCCATCCTGCTCACCCTCCAGTGACAGTTCAGAGCATCATTTTGCCAGGACATGATTTCAGCAGGGCCAGTCAGTTCTCCTACTGCCCATCCTCAAGATGCCAGCCCAGGATGCACCCCAACTCCCTAGACTCCTCAGGAGAGAAGCCGCCTCCCTGTGATGAGGTCAACCACTGGACGGTGTCTTGCTGCTTCCAGGCCCAGGCCTCCCCACTGCTGCCTCATCCCACTAACAATACTGCAATTTAACACGAGTGAGCTCCCTCACTCCTTGAGAGCCAAATCTGCACACCCAGTGTCCTATGTCATTTAGTGTTCAACCTTCATCCTCCTTTGAAAAATATTTACTGTTTCCCTTTCCATGACAACATTGAGAACAATATGTATCTGAACACTAAATACTTGGGTGGGGGGGGAACAGAACCATAAAAACCTAAATGAGCACACACCGAGATGTGTATGCTTGTGGTTTATTCTGTGATGCTGAGGGCTTCATGCATGCCAGGCAAATGCTCAATCACTGAGCTCCACATCATCCCCAACAAGTGATTTGGATTCACACCTGTGCTTAACTACGGTTTCCGAATTTTCCAGTGACTTAAATTTAAAATGACAGAAAATAAAAAAGAATAATTTTTGCATGGGTAGCTTTCCTATTTTAGTGGGGAGCTACCTTGAGGACCACCCTTGGAGGATGGAGAAATGAGACAGTCTGAGCACGTCTCCCAGGAGCCACTGGGGCCCTCCAGTAGCACAGAGGGCCTGTATGGGGGTACACAAGTGAGGCATTCAGAGCACACAAGTCTGGTAGGAAAGAGAGAGCCCCAGAGAGCGGGGTACACATGGCCAACTGGGATTCCTTTGACGGAGTGGAGAGGATTGCTAAGACATGGCCACCGAAAGCGAAGGGCAGGAGGGCAAGAAGAGAGATGGGAACGGAGCGCCCGAGTTTCCCTTCCAGGCCCCACCACTGGAGGCTATCCAGCCCAGCATCCCCACCACGCACCTGAGCACAGACTCCACAAATACTCTCAGGGCCTTTATGTGGATCCAGGCAATAAAAGCCTCGCTGAAGTTCACCTTGAGCCAGCGCAGCAGAGGTCCCTGCGGAGACGGGAGAACCACGTGAGCCTCCGGGCACTCGCCTACTCGCCTGATAAAGGCCAAGGAAGGGCTCGCGTTATACAGAGCAAGCCCTGCAACCAGAAGAAAGGCCCCGGAGCCAACAGAAGCAGAGAGGAGCCTGGGGAGGCTCAGGACCACTGCATGCAGGTGCCTGGCACTGGGGACGTTCTAGAGGCAGCCACCGGCACATGCGAGAGGCCACCTCCGACCAGGGGTGGGCAGCTCCACAGCTCTTGACCTCAAGACTGTCACGTGCAGCTGATAGGCTCTTGTCCGACACTGCACAGCCAAGTGGCCCACCTCATCGGAAGGCACTGCCCTGAGGGTCCAGCCCACCCGTCTACCAGCTGCACCTGCCAGTGGCTCTTCAAGCCTCATCTAGGCCATAGCTGCTGCTACAGAGCCTGATGTGGCTGTTCCTCAGGGGCAGCCCCCATCAGACCCTTTTCCAATTGCTCGACAAGGCCAGAGGTGGTCCAGCCAGGGCAGTCAAGGAGGAATGCTGAGCTTCTGAACCACCCACCCTCCAGCCAGAGCCCTGCCCGTCACCAGACACCAGCTCCAGCCACCGTCAGCCAGAGCACAGGCATCCCAGCCAGCCAACAAGCCCCATTCCCTGCCTAGAGAGCCAACTCCAGAAAGACCATGAAGATTAGGACAGCAGGATTCTGGGCTCCTCCAATTTCAGACCTCACAAGCCATAAGAAACGACAGCAAATGCAAAGATTTGTTCCTCAGCTGGGGAGCGCGTTGAGCCGGGGACCCCCAGGGTTCCCAGGGGGTGCTTACCTCACCCTCGCCCTCTCTGTCTCTGTCGGTCTGCCCCGCAGCGGGCCTAGCAGGGTTACCTAGCGGGGTTACCTTAACCTTGTGGTCCCGGTAGGTGGCTGATCCCTTTTTAAGAGCAACACAGGAAGTTTGCTAAAGGCACAGAAATTATTTATTAATCTTACAGCAAGCATGAATCATGAACACAAGTAATTCTCATGGCCTGGAGAGCATGTGCAAGCAAGCTCTGGAGTCCGGGCTCCGAGAAGGGTGTGGCAGGGGTGCAAGGCCTGTGATCTCAGACACTAGGGATGGAGACAAACCTACGTGCCTGCCTGGGTCAGGACCCCAGCGGCAGCACACAAAAAGAGCTCCCGGAAGTGTTACTGAACTATCCTGACCTCAGGAGCTCATCTGTCTGGACCCTGACACTCAGGAACAGCTCCCTCTGGGGTGTTCATGGAACACGTCAGCATGTCACATACAGGACATTAGTCAGACATGCAGCTAGGACATTTCACCCTTTAGCACCCTGTCTGCAAATGGGTAGAAAACGCGGGGTAACTCAACTGTGTGTTCCCAGAGCAACCCAGTCTCTAGCCTCTAGTGGGCCAGTAACTAAAGGATATGGGATACTTGGCTGAAACCCACTCACAACCATACCAAATACAAGAGATACTCTGGGTACTGTGGTGAAGGGGGTCTTCACTGAGCTTCTCTGAGGCTCCATTTGCCAGCACAGTTTCTAAGGGTCTCCCAGGAGCTGTTTCCCACACACAAGGAGACTCTGGCAGGTTCTCTGGGGGCAGTTGGGGCTGCCGAAATCTATGCCATGTAAAGACACCACCAGCCAGCAATCTGAGCCCCAAGAGAAGGTGGCAGGCTTGCTTGTGTTACCCTAATAAACAGGGTGGGTGCCAAATGTCCTACATCGCTATAGGCAGGGCCCTGATAACCTGGCCCCATCCGGGGATACTGCAGGGACTCAGCCAGGGAAGCAACAATCCAGGAAAAGCCCCACCTACAGGCAAGGCTGTGTGTGGACAGGGTCCCAGGAGGCTGAGGTCAGGCAACGGCACCCAGGGCTTCTGTTCTAGTTAGTGACAGTCACTCCTGCCGGAATGTGCCATGTCTACGCCATTGCTCTAAGGCTGAGCACCCTCAGAGGCTCAGGGCCCAGGCCTCCAGCCAGGCTTTGCATCTTCAGGAGCCTCGGCGAGGATCCAGTTGACTTTGGGTCTGGGCAGTGTGAGTGCATATACCTGGCATGCGTGTGTGTGTGTGTGTGTGTGTGTGTGTGTGTGTGTGTGTGTGTGTCCCCATGTATCTATGCTCCAGGGGTTCAAACTCTCCAACATGGACTAAAGGTGAAGGTGTCGCTCGGTTGGCAGAGTGCTTGCCTGCCATGTACAATACCCTAGGTTCCATCCCCAGAACAGAAACTGACTCTTGTACCATACACCTATGATCGCAGAGCTCCGTGGGTGTCACCCTCAATTACATATCAGGTCAGAGGCCAGCCTGGGATACATGAGACCCTCTCTCAAACATAAACGACAACATAGAAAATCCAACGCCTGGAGCCATCAGAAGCCGGGCTTTCCTTCTGGAAAGGAAACAGCAGGCAGCTGAGTTTCCACGATCTGCTTCGGGGAACTCGGTGGCTTATGCTCACTCAGCAAGATCAGATTGGATGTGCGCAGGCCATCTGCCTAGTGTGGGAGGAAGCCTGGGGCAAGTGCTGGGCCACGTGTGAGGCTCTGTACCAGTCCAGCGGCCCTGCTCTCCCAGGCACGTACTACAGCTGTGAGTACACAGGCCTTCCTCTGGAGACTCAAGGGCACTCTCCTTCCCCCACGTCACTGAAGTGGCACTAGAAGGTTCTCTGAGGAAGCCTCCCTCCACAGCTGGAAACACACATACACCCCCTCCGGCCAGTGCCTTGAAAGTGCAGGGCTGAGCCGGTGCTGCTGTTACTGGACACCAGTCTGGAAGACACTTTTGCAGAGCCGGGCGGTGATGTTCCCAGAACTAAAGGTTCCCAGTTCAACACCAAACACTCAGTTTTGCTCCAGGAGTGGAGGCTGACCTCTCCACACAGTTTCTAAGTGCCCGTGGCCAGAGTGTCTCAGGTAAAAGCACCCACTCTGCTAAGAGCACAGGAAAGGTAAACACAGGTGTTGCTGACGCCCTGAAATCTACAGTCATGGGCGATAGGGAAACCAGGGCTGTGCAATCTCTGAGTCGCTGACACTATCCACTCTGGCCGCAGATGCTTCATCCTGGTGCCCCTTGCTCTGGCTGACCTGGGGCAAAGCCCAGGGTGATCCCCTGGCCAGGGGACACTTCAGCATCTCATCTACTGTACAGCAGACAAGCCCTGCCAGAAAGGACCGTGATCCGGGTGGTTGTGAGCCTCATCACGGAGTGGGGCTCGGTACATATGCCATCTGAACTCACATGTGCCTTGACAGCACAAGTCCAGGATGTGGGAACGGTGAGACCGAGGAGTGGACTCTGGCCCCCAGAACACTGGGGGTGTGTCTCGGCTGTCTAGAGAGCCCTGCCCACACCCTGGTACTCACATACTGTTGTTTCTTATCAGACAGCAACCTGTTCATCTCCTCCCTTTCTCTTTTAATTTCTTTTTCATCGTAGTAAAATTCCCGGACAATGAACCTTCAAAAAAGCAGCTACAGCTGTCACTGAGAACCTGGCCAAGGCAGATTCTCCCCGGGGACTCCCACCAAACCCGGAGGAGCCCGGGACCGCATCCTTACTTGTTTTCTTTGGCTTTAACTTTGAAATCTTCGGTCACTTTGCGGAAGAGAGTCACTGTGAAGAGGCCGGCCTCGCTGTCCTCGGCGATCAGCCTAGAGGAGAAGCGTTTGTCGGCTGGATGACCTCGGGTCGCTCCACTCCAGGCTCTGGGCTGAAGCTAGGCTAAGAGGAGCTCTTCTTCAGCCTCGGGAGGCCATCCCCACTGGCAGAGTCACATCCCCTGGGCCTGGTGGCCTATACTTGGGTCTGTGTCAGTCACCAGGGCCTGGGAACCAAGGGTGTCCTGACAGCTTCCTAGGTCCGGCCCCCAGCAGCCACCCCTCCAGGCTCAGCCTTGGAAGCTCCAGCCTCTGGTTGGGAGTGACAGGGAGTGCGGATCTGCTCTGTCCCGTGCTCCTCAAATGGCTGAGTGATCCAGCCCCCCCTCTCCCCGCTCCGCAGGGCCTGACACCACTGCTGGCTGTGCAGGTTCCAGAGAGGTAAGTGGCAGGCCACTCCACAAGGGCCACTCCACTTCCGATGTCATGAAGCCCTGGCTGGATATGTCCTTGCCAGCATGTGCCAGCATGGAGTCACCATCCCCAGCAACACGGAGACAGTGATCTAAGCAAGATGTCTTGGGGGTCTAGGCATGCCCGGTTGTCAGATCACCTCTCCGGTGTCTCAGAGCCCACACCCATAGGAACTGGCCCTAAGCTCCAGCCCTTTCCAGAATGGTTGGTGCAGGCTCTCAAGCTCTCTTTATCACGAAGGGCCGGAGGTCTCTGCTCTGTGGCCCAGCATCCTGCCAAGCTGAATGGAGTGGTTTGAACGGGTATGGCCCCCATAGACTCGTGTTTGAATGCTTGGCCCATCGGGAGTGGCACTATAAGGAAGTGTGGCCTTGTTGAAGTAGCTGTGGCCTTGTTGGAGGAAGTGTGTCACTGTGGAGGCAGGCTTTGAGGTCTCATATGCTCAAGCTAGGTCTAGTGTGGCAGTCTCCTGCTGCCTGTGGATCAAGAGGTAGAATTCTCACTATCTCTCCAGCACCATGTCTGCCTGCACGCCACCATGCTTTCTGCCATGATGATAACGGACTAAACCTCTGAACTGTAACCCCGCCCCGTTTAAATGTTTCCCTTTATAAGAGTTGAGTGGTCATGATGTCTCTTCACGGCAATAAAACCCTAACTAAGACAGTGATCCTCCCAAAAGGACCCCAGAGGCAATCCTTAAGAACAGAAGAAACCTGTTTACCAGGCAGTTCCTGCCTGGTGCTACCTGCCCACCAAAGATGTACCTCCTCTTCACGCTCTACCTCCCCCAAGACCTTAGCCTGTGACTAACCTATTCCTTGCAACCCCTCAATTTAGCTCCTGGTGACCGTGTCCTGGGAGTTTGTAGCATGTTCCTCAGGGTCAAGGCCTCGAGAGTGAATGGGTTGAGATCAGAAGGGGGCTAGGATGGGATGGGATAGGATGGATGAGGGTGGGGTGGGGCAGAGTAGGATGGGATGGGGTGGGGTGGGATGGGGTGGGATGGGGTGGGACAGGATGGATGAGGGTGGGTGGGACAGAGCAGGATGAGTAGAATGTGATGGATGGGATGGGGTGAGATGGGATGGGATGGGTTGGATGAGGGTGGGTGGGACAGGGTAGGATGGGTAGGATGGGATGGGATGGGGTGGGATGGGGTAGAGCAGGATGGATGGGTAGGGGACAGTGAGGTGGGATGGGATGGAATGAGACAGATGGAGTAGGTAGGGTAGGACTGGATGGGGTGGAGTGAGGCTGGATGAAATGACATGGAGCAGGTAGGATGAGGTGGGGTGGGGTGGGGTGGGGTGGGTTGAGGTGGGGTGGGGTGAGGTGGGCAGCTCTGGGTACAGTGTGGTAGGGCAGATAATTGAGCTCATGTTACTTGTGGCTCATTCTAAAATTTCCTTTATGGCACACATAGAAATGCATGACTTCGGATCACAAACAAGTTCACACAGTTAACAGTCCCCTAGGCCCTGCCCCACTGAACTAGACTCATGACTCCTTATCGTGATGACCCTGTAGGTGGTTTTCCTCATTTCTATGGCCCCTGTGACTCTGCTGTGAACTGAATTATGGCGCAGGCACCGAGACATTCCTGTCACACATTTTTGTTTTGTTTTGACTTGGTTTGATTCTAGATAAATGGCATGGTTCTCCATGTACCTGCGGGGGTAGTAAGAATGCCCCCCATAGGCTCATATTATCTGAAAGTGGCACTATTTGAGAAGAATTAGGAGGTGTGGCCTTGTTGAAGGGAGTGTGTCTCTGGGGATGGATTTTGGGGGTTCAAAAGCTCACATCAGGCCTAGGTGTGCATTCACTCTCTCTCTAGCTCTCTCTGTCTCTCTCTTGTCTCTGTCTCTGTCTCTCTGCCTGTGGATCAGGATATAGCTCTGAGCTATTGCTCCAGCGCCATGTGTGACGCCACACTCCCTGCCATGATGAAAATAGACTAGGCCTCTGAAACAGTAAGCCAGCCCCCAGTTACATGCTTTCTTTTATATGAGTTACCTTGGTCATGGTGTCTCCCACACAACAGTAAAACAGTGACTAACATTTGCTCCTTCTCAAAGTGAGCTCTGATGTGTGTAGTTGCATTGCTGGTTTTCCATGGCAGACTCAGATCCGACCCAGTCTTATCCATCATTTCTGCAGGGCTCACGTGTTCCTGTCCTGCCCTTAAATGGCCACACACTGAGAATCTCCTCCCTCTTCAGACTCTGTGGCCAGCCCTAGGCTGTCCCTCTGTTTGGGCATCTGCCGAACAATCTCTGCACTGCTCCCCCTTAGGTGGGGCAGAATGGATGTCTAGTAGAGAACGCAGAGCAGGCAGAGAACACAGAGGCTCTGCTGAAAACAGCCAGCACAGCCTTCCTGGGCACGGGGGGGCTGGGGGGGACAGGAAACTGGAGCTTTGAAGGACAATGGCAGACAGGAATATATCCCAAGAGGCGAGAAGGAATTCCAGGCCACGGGGACTCAATGCATAGGTATGGTGCTGGGAGGCGCCCCACCCTGGCACATGTCTGGTGCTCCAAGAACATCCATACCTTCCCCTCTGGGGATGTCGACTAAGCTGAGGTCTCACTTACTTGGTTGACCGAGGGACCACCATGTCGGATAGGGACTCATATGTCCTCTGCCACTGTACATAGCTTGACCTGTGAGGACACAGAACTGTTAAGTGCTTTGGGAAGAAAGGGCTTCTATTGTCTCAGGAAACTCTTTACACCTTCTCCTGAAGACTGAAAGGCAAGAGGTATAATCAGGGAGTGTCCCTAACATCCCCAAAGCTCCTGCTATTATTGCCCAGTGCCATGCTGAGCCCAGTCTGCGTGCAAGGGCCCCAGGTCTTCCAGAGGGTCCCCATGTGGAGAGCTCAGGTGCCGGTATGTTTGAAGCTCACTAATAATTGTCTGATTCTGGCCCAGGTTACCTGGGACCAGGGGGATGACCTTTGTAGCCTTAGGTCAAAAGGAACAGTAGAGCTCTCAGGCTTCTTGTGGGCACAACGCAGGTGCTCAATAAACGCTGTTACAGCCACCATCTCCCTGGTTCTGTGCCTGTGGAGACAGCGGCCCTCCATGGGCCCTGAGCAGCCATGTCTGCTGACCTGGGGCCAGCAGGGCACAAGGGGCCCACCTCACTTTCCACTGAGCAGGGCACACACCCACCGTCTTCCTATCCACATACTTGGGAACGATGACCAGCAAGGTTATAAGATATTCCGAATCAAGTACGAAGTCTTCTTTGCTGACGATATCGCTCAGTGTCCGAGTGAAGAGGTTCCCCCCTGGAAGGCAGAGGGACAAGGGGTGAGCCCAGAGGAGAGGCTCACTGACCCCGCATGCCTGTAGAGTCCAGACAAACAGCGGGACATGGAGCAGGCTCAGGGGAGCCTCCAAGCTGTCTGCTGCCAGAGCCAGGTACAGCCGAATTGTAAGCGAGCTACCCCCTGTTCCCTCTCGGGGCAGGGAAACTGGCAAAGCCTCTGTAACGATCGCCTGTCACTCCAGGGGCTGCTGAATCTAACACCTCAGTGACCCGCACTGTCCTCAAATGCCAGCTCAGGTGCTGGGAAGGGACCTCAGGTGGCAGGCAGCTAAAGTTATTCAAGTATCAAAGCAGCCAGGGCTCCGAGTGGCGTGGGACAGATAGGCCTAGATAGGGCTAGCTCTGTGTCACTTTACAGGCCGTTCAGTCCAGCAGCTGGGGACACTCACCTGAAGTGGCTCTGTCGATGCCACCAGCCCTGGCTCAGGTGAAGAGCGTGGACAGCATGCAGCTACCACAACGTGGTGGGTCCCCAGGCTGCGGAGTCCGAGCCCGACAGCCCCCAGAGCATGAAGCAATGTTAGTCTATTGCTTCCAACTTCCCAAGCACAGATTAAAAGGCATAGCCTCAAAGGCGAGAGAGAAATCCCATCCTCCAAAGATGTCTGCTCCACCCGCAGCTGTGAGGTCAAGGACAAAGGCAGGCAGATCCCCTCCAGAGGGACCCTAGGCACAGCCACCCTGTCACCACAGCAAGCACATCATCCTGCTAGGAGACTTGGCGCACTCGGCCCAAGGCAACAAAGCCACAGGTTTGTTGATTGAGTAACTGTGACTCTCCAAGTGTAGAAACGGTTTCCCTTGCTTTATGTCTATAGAGCCTGAGGATATTGTGGGCGCTTTAAAATGTACGTCAAAAGAATAAACAGGAGAGGGAGTCGGCATCTGATTGGTGAAGGAGGAGGAACCAGAGACCGTAGGGGAGAGGAGGTTGGACCAGTCACCCGCTGAAGTCCCAATTCTCAAATTACACTTTTTATTTATTTACTTTGTGGTGTGTGTGTGTGTGTGTGTAGGAGCACATTTGTGGAGATCAGAAGACAACTTGCAGAAGTCAGTTCTCTCCTTCTGCCAGGTGAGACCCCGAGACTGAACTCAGGTCATCCTGCGTGTGGTAGGCACCTTTACCCTGATCCGTCTTGACGGCCACCAGACTGTGGCCACCTTACTCAAATCCACCCCTGCTCATGTCCAGTTACCCTGAGACGGAGCCAGACAACCGAAACCGACTTTCTAAGCTCGGGGCATCTGTGTGTCCCCACCCCACCCCCACTGACAGACGGCAGCTTCCGGATTCCTTCTCTGTTTGGATTTGGGGTCGTTTTGTTCATCTGAGTGCTTTATTGGAATGATGAGCTTTCTTGGAGGACACAAGTCAAAAGCAGAAGAAAACCATCGGCTTCATCCAGGACTCATACAAGACCCTGCAGGGAAGCTTGCTTCCACGGCGATTTTAGTGTTTTGTGTCGTAGCTGTACGGTGGGACTTTCCATTTAAGGAATCATGTTGATGCTTCAAATGTTTCCGGTTTTGAAGCAATTTTACTTTTGGGTTTTCAGATTAGGAATGGTCTTCGTTTTATGAGTAGAAAAGCTGGCCCGGGGAAGATTGAAGAGGGAAGCTTAGTAAGACATACCAGAGGGAGGGCAACTGGTTCCGAGCTCCTGGGCCACTCCGCTTTTCTGGACTCAGACTCGGGATCTAGAGGTGACTGCTGGGGCCACTTCATGCTTGCTGGGCCCTCCCCACTCCCCCACTCTCACTCGGGAGCCTGCCTGGCTCCTTACCGCCTGTTCCTCCCCGGGTGCTCACTAGCATCCCCCAAACTGTCCCCGCCATGATGGTCCTGACCACCACGGAGCCTGGTCTGTCGGGGCCTGAACAATCCATTCTCCAGCAGACAGCCAGGGCAGCTGAGGCCCTGCCACTGTATCCCCACCACCACCCAGGCTGCTGCCCATGATCCTTACTGCCCCTTGAAGAGGTCTGGGCTCTACCATCCCATCCTGCCTGCCCTCCTTGAAGAGGAGATGCAGAGAGAGGCCTGAGCAGGCTCCCCAGAGCCTCACCCTGGGTAAGGAGTGGGGACAGAAGGAAAGAAGGAATGAGCAGGAAGCAATGTCATGCTCCTCCATGTTCACAGACAGGGTGGCCACCCTGCCCGGCTCTGTCCTCTTCATCTGCCCCAACTGTTCACCCGGCTCAAGGGCCACAGTCACGGGAAGGGCAGAGTAGAGGACCCCCCACCCCACCCCACCAGATACATGCACAGAGAAGGCAGTGGGTGCGGTACACACGTGGATTTCTTCTCCAGGTTCTCCAGGTTGGCCTTCAGAACGCTGTACGCGGCTGTGCGGGACTTCAGGTCTGTCTCGATTTGTGCCAGTTGCTGGGAGGAAGTGGGGGAGAGAGATGCTCCTGGTGACCTTGAAGAGTCAGTGAACCTCTTCAAAATCTGCCCAAGTGGCCCGGGCGGTGGTGGCGCACACCTTTAATCTCAGCACTCGGGAGGCAGAGGCAGGCGGATCTCTGTGAGTTTGAGGCCAGCCTGGGCTACAAAGTGAGTTCCAGGAAAGGCGCAAAGCTACACAGAGAAACCCTGTCTTGAAAAACCAAAAAAAAAAAAAAAAAAAAAAAAAAAAAAAATCTGCCCAAGCATCTTTGGGACACTTAGCAACAGTGACCAAGCCAGCCAATGGGACTCATTCCTGTAATTCCAGCACTTGGGAGCCAGAGGCAGGTGGATCAGTTCAAGATCATCCTTAGCTACATAGCCAGGTTGAGGCCTAGGCTTCTTGAAACCCTGTGTCAGGATAAAGAGACAAAGAAACAAAAGAAAAACAGCAACCCTCCTGAGACTCACCGTGGCCCCACCTGTCTCCTTCCGGACTCTCCCAACCCTACCTCCCACTCCCACCCTCTGCACCTGGACCTCAGTCAGTCCCCACACAGGGAAGTGGGTGGAGACAACTTTACAGGTATGAAGGCGCCAGCCACACAGCTTGGCCAGTGTCACACACTAGCTTGGGCTCCTTCCCAGCAAGGGATGCTGAACTTCCGGGCCCTGGGTACCTCTGCTAGAGAGTAGCTAGCCTGTGTTCTCTGCTGACCTTCCACGCTCAGCCTCCCAGTCATCCACCTCTCCAGGCCTGACGGCAGCCTCTTCCTAACCTGCAGGGCACAACAACTGAGCACCTCTGTCCCCTGCCTCAGGCTCCCCAGCTACTCAACAGGGGGAGGAATGTCATCTTAGGCCCCAAGGACAGCTGGCCACAGTGAAGAGCAGTTCAAGAAGATGGTGGTAAATATGTTTTCTGAGGCCAGAAGGCAGCGAGTGAGTCAGAGCCACAGCGAGTCCCTCCCAGGGGCTGAGCTCTGTGGTAATTTAAAGACAGTTCTGTCCTCCAAGGGCTCAGCAGACCTGGCCCTGCAAACACACAGCATGACAGTGAGCACCACCCTGCAGCCGTAACGACGAACAGGTGCCTGTGTATTTATCACGCATGGATGCGTGTCGCCTAACAGGCAGTGGTGGACGCTTCAGAGTCTGTGACCCCAAAACATAAGCCGTCTGCCCATCCCTCTGCTGCCAGTTTGGCAGTGGGATGTGATGGGAGTGTCCATACCGTAGAGCAGTGCATACCTCTCTCTGATGGGGGAGATGTTGAGAAGCATGAGATGAAACCCAGCATGGTGTGCAAGTTCTAAGTTTAAGTACTTAGAACAGACATCCAAAGAGGAGCACATTCCCAGGGCGTGACAAAAACGCTCCACAGAGGTCCGTGTGCCTTGAGGGGTTTCCCTCACTGATGATATCCTACCGCATAACTAGGCTGCACAGCTGTGCCGTACCTTTGGACCACACCACACGCCACACTCAAGGTGCGGCCACACCATGGGACTGCAGGACAATGTGCTGTGCAAACTGTACAAAGCCCCAAGCCACTGCGGAAGAACAAAGCGAGGCTGGGGCTGACGCACGAGCTCTTGGGGCAGCACGGACTGAAGATTCAGTCTTCCCCAACCCCTGTCCCGCTAGCCTGCAGGAGCTGGTTCCCTGTGATGGAGTGGAGCCGTGCACACTGCACAACTTGTGGGATCTGACCTCCTGACCCCCATCCCCTCCCAGTCTGTTTCAATAACTGTGCATTTGGGTACCCAGGACTAGAGGAGAGCCAGTTCTCCTCTCCAGCTCCCCCAAGCCAGGTCCAGTGTCCCCGGGACTCAGAATCCCAAGTTGGCATGCCCGACCTCACAAAAATCTTGTGTTCTCTGGCTCGGGGGCAGACTTGCGTGATGCTCTCCTGAAAGCCATACCTGGCACAATGCCCTGAGCTGCCCCTGCTAGAAGCACCTTTGAGAACCTCTGCCTGGTTGTCTTGGGAGGGCAGGTAAGCCCAAGGAGCCACACCCGGATTCCCAAGAGACCTGAGGAAGGAAAGGACTCAACCCCACCCTTCTTGCCCTGACCTGCCTATGGCCCTCGGGGAAGTACAGCTACTTAGGGAACAGGGCAGCTTTGTTCAGCACAGAGCTGGGATCTCCCCAGCCATTGGGCCAGCCGGAGACATGATATATAAGGGATATATAAGGGGTTCTCTGTGCATCAGCAATAGGGCAGAACAATCAATCCTCACCCATGGTGAGGGCACCTAGAAGTCACCTTGGCTATGGGATGCCCACACTGTCCCTGCAGATCCCTGTGCTAGGAGGCCTGTATCCAGTATGAGCCAGAGACCATGGCTTAGTAGATGGCACCCTGTCACAGGGCTGATTTGTTGTCACAAGACACTTAGGGGATGAGTTGGCACAATGTGATTAAGGGGGCTTCTAAAGCAGCAAGGTTTTGCAAATCATTTCCCAAGAGATCTGGGCCTGGTGCCCAAGCCCTGTAATTCCAACTACTAAGGAGGCTGAGGCAGAAGGATCAGAAGTTCAAGTCCAGCTTGAGTTACAGAATTGGTTCAAGGCCAGCCTGGGCAACTTAGTGAGACCCTATCTCAAAATGAAAATTAAAAGAGGGCTGTGGGGCTGAAGAGATGGCTCAGCGGTTAAGAGCACCGACTGCTCCTCCAGAGGTCCTGAGTTCAATTCCCAGCACCCACATGGTGGCTTTCAACCACCTGTAATGAGATCTAGTGCCCACTTCTGGCCTGCAGGGATATATGCAGGCAGAATACTGTATACATAATCAATCAATCAATCAATCAATCAATCAATCTTTAAAAAAAAAAGAAGAGGGCTGTGGTAGAATGCTTAGTATGTGAAAGGCTCTGGGTTCCACATCCAGTACCACAAAAATCAATTAATTAACCATCAATCATCTAAGGGGCACTGGGTTCCCAAGCACATGGTAGGAAGGGCAAAACTATGTCTTCCCATCACAGCTTCTGAATCACGGTAGGGGAGTGAAATGAAGTACTTCAGGCCCGTCCAGTAGACTCTCCTGTGAGATTACAGCCAGGTCTCTGGGTGACAGGGACAGGAGACAAGAACACACAGGTCTCTCCTGAATTCTAACCTTAACCAGGACGTGGTAAGGGGGACCTACCCTGGGTCACTCACAGGGCTGGCATCCCAGCCTTTTTGCCTTCTACCTTGTGGGAGTCCCAACGCCATGTATGTCATCTCAGATGGTCAGATGTCTCCAGACAGACTCTCCTCACCTTGGCCAGTGTGTCCACCACGCTCACCAGCGGCTGCTTGGCAGGGTATTTGGCCATATCCCACTCGAAGTGTGTCACGAAGGATGTCAGGTCAACTGGAAGAGCAGAGACGAATTCGAACCCAGAACCAAGCCAAAGGAGACAAACGGAGCTTGTGGCTCACACCAAAGAAGCAGTCCGGGAGAAGCTGGAGGATGGGCCCAGGCTCTGGAGGCGCACATGCTCCACGCGGGAGCAGTTCCGAGCCAGTGGGAAGCATCGACTTGCCAGCGTGCACTCCAGAGCTGAGGGAAGGGTACTGCAACAGGGGCACTCTGAGCCCCAAGCTCTCCTGCGGCAACTTCCACGTGGAGTTTGTTAGGAAGCCTGCTCTTTCTAGAGGTCGGAACCAAGAAGGTGACATTCTGTGACCACTGGTAACTTCTCCACCCTCGGTAGTTGCTTGACCTACCCTCCCCAGCTGGGTCGCCAGTCTGTTTTGAGGCATCCAAGAGGCACAGCAGAAAACACCAAACCAGGCCCCCAACCACCCAGCCATGGCCTGTCCCAGGTGCCACCTGCTAGGGGGGATAGTCTCCCTGCTTCTTGAGCCCCAACAAGAGCAAGGCCATGCTAACCCACATCATCCTTAAAGAAGACATCTCCCAGCTCAGCCACACCAGGAACTTGATTGTCACTGGCTTTTCTCACCTGGAGCCATGGGCATCATTCAGTGTGTCCCTGTTGAAGTCTAGAGTGAACAGAATACACCAATGTTTTCACCAAAAGCAAACAGATTCCCCTGCAAAGAAGGATGTTCCTGCCTACCCCAACCAGCTGTGCAGTGTAAGAACAGAAGGAGCTGAAGGTGGTTCAATTGGACTGACGTATTTCAGTCCAAGGAGCCTGGCTGATTATGATATTTAGGGTAGTGTTTGTTTGTTTGTTTGTTTGTTTGTTTGTTGGGTTTTTTTTGCATGTTTGTTGGAGACAGGGTCTCACTGTGTATCTCTGGCTCTCCTGGAACTCAATCTGTAGACCAGGCTGGCCTTGAACTCACAGAGATCCACCTGCCTCTGCTTTCCAGTAGTGGGATTAAAGGTGTCTGCCACCATGCTGTGACACTTAGTTTTAACTGTCAACTGACACACTCTAGAGTCACCTGGGAAGAGAGTCAGCGAAGGACTGTCTGGATCAGGCTGGCCTGTGGCCGCGTCTCTAGGAGATCATCTTGATTACGTAATTGATGTGGGAAGACCTGGCCCACTGTGGGCAGCACCATTCCCTAGGCTGGGTGAGTGAGGGGAGGAACTTGAACATAGGAAGTATACATGGATCCTTTTCCCTCTGCTCTTGACTGTGGACATGACTAGCTGCTCCAAGTTTCTGTCATAACTTTGCTTCAGTGATACACTGTGACCTCTAACTGTCAGCAAAACAAACCCTTCCTCTCTTAAAGTTGCTTTTGTTGGTTTTTGGTTTTGTTTGTTTGTTTTTTAATCTCAAATAAAACCAGGAACGTGGCTTGAGTCCCAGATCCCAAGCAAGAGAGGAACTGAGTCAGTGTTCCTACCTGAGAAAGTGGTCAGAGGCCTCACCTCTGGAGGGCCTGCTGGTTTTGTTTTGAGATGGTGTCTCACTGCACAGTGCTAGCTAGCCTAGGACTCGCTATGTAGACCAGGCTGTACTCAAACTCACAGACATCCACTGCCTCTGCCTTCCAAATGGTGAGATTAAAGGCTTAATTATTCTTATACTCTACATATCCAGAGAGTACCATAGGAGCATGTTATTTCTCCTTTATTTACCCCCCCCCCCCCCCCCCCCCGCGCGCGCGTGCACACTTTTTTTCTCTTTATCTATTTATTTATTTTGGTTTTTCAAGACAGGGTTTGCCTGTACAACAGCTCTAGTTGCCCTGGAACTTGCTTTGTAGACCTCTGCCTCCTGAGTGCTGGGATTAAAGTCGTGGGCCACCGCCTGGCTTTTATACCTTTTGAGATGTGGTCCAGACTGGCCTTGAACTCCTGCCTCAGTCACCCGAGTAACTGGAATGGCAGGTATGCAACAGCCACTTTCCAAGGTGGGATTTCGCACCGCAGGTTCTGCACACGCAGCCCTTCCCTGTTTATGCGTGTCCTTACCCGTGCAAAGAGCCTGCCCTCGTCCTCCTAACAGTCACCTTCACCTGCATGGAGTCTGGCTCCCTGCTGTTGGGAATCCAGGACACACCCTTCCCACCCAGCCTCAAGTACTCACGCGTGTGCCAGGGACAGTCAGGTTAGCAGTGGGGAGAGACAATCCCAGACTCCTAGGGAAGCCACCGGGGCAACAGTCGGACAGGGACCCTGAAGAAGCTGACAGACAGAGGCTGTCCGTGTGGCTGTGAGTGTCAAGTGTCAGAAGGGCGGGTGGCCACTCTGGGGGAGGGTGTTAGGAGTCTAGATGAAGCTGATGGGGCAGGGAGGTGGGCAGGAGCTAGCAGCCCAGGTGTGAGGTCACATCTGGACCTCCATGCTTGGAACTGGTTGGTCGTGGAGACACAGGACAGGAGCACACAGTGGGAGAGCCCGTGTTGGGGTTGGACAGAAGCCAGCGAGGATGAGGGAGAGGGGAAAGCCAAGACGGAGCAGAGAGGAGGGACAGGATGTAGGGACAGTGACACACAGGACATGAAGTGACACCCACATTCCTAGGCTGGGCGACCAGGTGGAGGGAAGGACAGTCATTAACCTGGGGACCACGGGGCCGAGAGGATGAATTCAGTTTGAGGCAAGCCCAGCTCTGATGGGTGGATGCACTAATCCCCAAGAAAAAGACAGAAACCAAAGGGGATTCAGAGGGAAGTGGCCCTCCTACCTAGCAGGCAGGAATGCCTTAAGACAACAGTGACAGTGTGCCAGCCAGAGAGGGGCTGTGGCCCTGCGGCTTACCTTGGGCCGGGACATGTGAATCATCATCTCATCTGATCTACTCTCCAGCCCTAGTAAGGGGCATCATTATCTCCATGAGGAAACTCCAGCACAGAGTAAGTTATGTAAGCTCCATCACAGCAGGAAGAAATGACACAGAGCACCCAACACCCTGCCCATCACGAAGGAAGGCCCTTGGTCCCTCTCCCCATCGTGTCCAACTGTCAGGGTCCAACTATGCTGCAGGAGGAAGAAGGCGCGCCCCTCCACCCGCCTCTCCACCAGATCCACACTCTCGATTTTTCTCCAGAGTGGGTGGACTTGGCAGAGGCTCTCTCTCGAGAACCTCTGTCGGACGTTGACCACACTGGCGTTAGAATTTAACAGCACCTTGGCCTGTGACAAGGGACTCTCTAAGATGCATTGGGGTTGGGGGCTGGTGGGATTTGTGCTCATGAAAAGGAGATATCGGAGCGCTCTGCCCATGCTCACTGCCTCCCCACATGCAGCCAAGGAAAGATCACTGTGACAACAGACGTGGCTGCCCATAACCGGCACAGTCCTCATTAGAACCTGAAACACCTGGCCAGGTGTGGTGGTGCACAACCCTAACCTCAGCTCTCAGGAGGTTAAAGCAGGAAGTTCGCTTTGAGTCTGAGCCTAGGCTGAACTACGTAGTGAGTTCTAGGCCAGCGTGGGCCATAGAGCGAGACAGTGTTGTGGAAGCCTCCTTGTGTGGAATTTGTGATGGCGGTCCAGTTGGTATTAGTATATAGGTTTTGACATTAGCACAAATTTTGTCATTCCCATGACCCCAAAACTAAACAAGGCCACGTGAGGCCTCTCAAGAGACAGCAATGCTAACTGTTGGGAGAGCATTGGGCAAGAGAAAGACCTCTCCTTCTGGTGACCTCAAGCCTTTCCTGAAAGTGAGGAACTAGCAGCCAGGACAGATGTCAGGGTGATGTGTCTTCAGGGGCACTCCCTCTCCACGCTGCCTGTCACCTCCAGCATCCTGGAGCCCTGCCACCCAGGCCAAGTAGTACTCAACCTCTCAACCCCTCTCCCGGCTGCTCCGAACAGTCAATGCTGCTCTAACTGACTTCCTCCAATGCCCGTGTCTCCAGAGCCCATCACAGGACCCCACAGAACCATGCACTCCATAGAATGATCAAGACACTGACAACCATGCTCATCACAGCCAAGACGGCCATGGGAATTTACACTCCATAGGCTGATTAGCAGAGACACACTGCAGAGCAAGCTCCGCTCTTTATGCCTTGTCACCAAACCCAAGGGTGCCGTGCCTTTCACTCTTAGGAGGGCATGTCCCGCTGTAGGGTGCAGGGCACTGTGGGTCTCTCTCCCAGCAGCCTGTGAGCTCCCAGGGGCACCAGGAGGCTGACAGTGGTCTCAGTAGGCCTCTGGGTTGGTGGCTACACACTCTTCCTCCTCGTTCATCTCTCGGGTCTAACCTTTGCTCCAGATCACAACCTGAAAGTCCTTCCCTGTCTATACCTTGGGCAGGAATATTACTCCAGAGTGGCCTCCGCCACCCCAGCCTTCCTGCCCTCTTAAAACACACTCCCCACAGGCAGCTGTCTCTTGAGCAACAATGACTTCATCTGAAAAACCAAGCCAAGGCCTTGCCAGCGTACAGGATTATGACCGCACAGGCGGCAGTCCAGTGCCAGGCTAGCCAGACAGGTCTTCCGCAGCCCAAGCCAGACACGTGTGTGTCTGCTCTGCTTCTGCCAGATTCACATGGGTCTAGATGTTACCATGCTCCGCACAGCTGGTGGCAAAGACAAACCAAAGCAAAAGGCACCCAGCAAAGCTAAAAACCTAGACTGAGACTGTTACTAAGTTTATTTGCAAGTGAGAAAAAAAAAAAAAAAAAAAAAAAACAGGCCCGGAGAGTCGACTGGCCAAGGTCAAGACGGACAGCACATGGCATGACCAGGTCAGACCCCTGCGGGTCTTCGTGATGTCAATGCCCTAAATTCTCTCGAAGGAGATGGGATTTAAAAAGTCCCATGCACAGAACAACAAAGAGCTCTAGGAAATTCTATCCAGTCTGAGAGTGCCCTGCAGAAGGAAATCTTCTGGGAAAGTTTGAGTTGAATGAACTTTAAAAAGGTCTCTTGACCCTCGCTGGACTTTCTGGGGGGCTTCAATGCAAAGGTGTATACTTAAGATTGGCAGGGTTGGTTCGCAGAGCATGATCAGAAATAGCTGGAAGTGACTGGGACTAACCCACCGAAGCCCCACAGGAGGCCTGCAGAAAATGGCCCATGCTAAAAAAGCAACAAAGACCAAGGTCCCCTGCTCCTCGGTGTGCCCTCTCTTAGAAACAGTGCACCCAGACAGGGGTGGATCCCACGCAGAACAACACCTACATTCAAGTGACATCAGCTTTGAGGTGAAAGCTGGTGGATGGGTTTGTTTGCTCTTTGGGGTTTATTTGCTTTGTTGCAGTGTTAGGGTGGAACTCAGGGTCTAGAGCTTGGCTAGGAGAACACTGCCAATGAGCCACATTCCCAGCCCTGGAATGTGATGAGCATTTTGATCAGCATTTTAGTGTATGCTTAAATAAGGCATGAACCAGGCGAGGTAGTCCACACCTGCCACTCCACCACTTGGGAAGTGGAGACAGATGGTCAGAAGTTCAAAATCACCCTGATTTTGAATAGCCCTGAGCTACATAGTGAGCTGGAGGCTAGCCTTGACCACATGACACCGTCTCAAAAAAACAAAATGAGATATTACTTGTTCTTTCCTTCTGCCCGTTACAGAAGATGAGAGAAAATACTAAGCCAGGTTCTTTCTAACAACTGCACCAGGAGTGGCCTGTTCTAGAAGACCCACGGTCCATGTGAATCTCGTGAACCACGTGGCATAAGGTCTGGCTGAGCTGACATCCTTGCAGAGCAGGTGGACACCAGAGGCAGGCTTCGAGACCAGGCAGATAACAAGCGAGGAGATGCCCAAGTTCACCCCGACCCCCCACAGAGGTGATGCAGTCCCCTTTCCAGATGACATGCAGGTTGCTCAGGAGACGCAAAGAGGATGGGAGGGAGAGGGAGACGGGGGTGGGGGGTGGGGGGGTGGTGAAACCACCGCGAACTGCATCGTCTGGGTATGGTGAGCAAAGCTCTAACGCGGTTGCTGGAGAAACGGTTGAGGCCTGATCACTGCACGCCTCCGGCCAGCCCGAGGCCCCACCCTCCCGGGGACATGCAGCAGGCAGGCAGCACACTGAGCATGCGCACAGCAAACGAGACGCAACCTACTCTTTAAACATTTCATCTTTTCCTTCAGACCTGAAACGTGATATAAGATGGGGTTATTAAACCACAAAGACAGGCCCGTCCGGGTTCAGAATGGGGAGAGTGAATATTTCCACTCGCCAGTTTAAACCAGTAAAAGGCTCTTAATGTTTCCAGGCGGCATGCATGTGTGTTCATACATGTGTTACGTACCCCAAATGATATAACTGTAAATATGTATGTTCTCATTTTTAATAAATATGTAGATAGTCAAAATCAATTCTCTCTACAGATATGTAACTATTTAATTCTAGAGTTTTCAAAGTGTTCAAGTTTTGTAACATGTGTGTGTTTTGCTTTTATATATATATATTTTGAGAGTCTTAGATAGCCCAGGCTGGACTTGAACTTGCTAAGTATCTCAGGATGTCCTCGAACACCTGGTCTTCCTGCCTCTGCTTCCCTGGTGGTAGGATTACAGATGTGTGCCACCATGCCTGGGTTTCAAAGCCTCCACGTTTTTGCTACACATTTAAAACGCAGCCCAAATGGCATATGCACGTTTAACAGCCAAAACAGCAATGGGGGTATCTGAATATGTGTCTGTGAACAGGGGAAGTCAAAGCTTTGGAATGAGAACATTCCACGTGAAGTGTTGTTGATGAGGCCCTGCTGCCTCTGGTTGGAGGCATTACTCAGCACAGGCAGCCACTTCTCACACCTTGTTTGGTTTAAAAAAAAAAAAAAAAAAAGGTAAGTGGATGGAGATGCGTGAGAATTTCCACAAATGGGACAGTAAGGCTTAACGGAACTGGACAGTCAGAGCTCCCATTGAGGCCGTCGTGAGGGAAATGGCTCCTGAGGAGAGGAAGCCTTTGCGGACCTACCTCCATTGGCCAGGAGGTTCTCGTGGACTTTGCCCTTGGAGTCTTCCATGACCTCCACCACACTCTGCGCCGTTCTCTTTATGAGGCTTGGGGGAGAGAAGAAAGGGCCAGTGAGGGTGAGGAGCTGTGTGCAGGACCACTCCACCCAGCCTCCTGGCAGAGAAAGGAGCCCTGGGAGCCACTGGGGGGGGGGGGGGGGCGGCACTCTGGCAATCTGTAAGGAGAGACTTAAGCATTAAGAACCTTTGAACCAGTCACTCCACTTCTGGGAAACCATCTTGAGGAAACAGGAAAAAAAACACCAGAAGGGCTTTCTGAATAGAAAGATGTTCTTTGCAGCAGAGTTGCCGACAATAAGAAATTGGAAGCGACCCGGAGGTTCAACAATAGAGAATTGTTTGAGGGATGGTCTGTCCAGCTGAGGGATTATTAGGCCGCCATTGAAAATAAGGTTTACAAAGAATTTCAAATACCGTGGAACAAGGCGCGTATTATAATGTTAGGTGGAAAAAAACAAGACAGAAACTTAGACAGTAAGACGATCTCTGCTGTGCTATGGGCACATATTTCTGCTTGCTATTTCTCTAGTACAATCTGGTATTGATTTTATAGAAGAGGCAAGCCTCGGGCCTCCAGCAAACACATGGCAAGAACTCAAGTCATACACCAGGTCACAGATGGAGGATGGGGTACGTTCCCTTTCATTTTCAGTCCCTCCTTTCCTCGCTCCCTCCTTCCTTCTTCCTTCCCTCCCTTTCTCTCTCTCCCTCTCTCTCCCACTCATCCTCCAACTGATACAAGGTCTCCCGTATGCCAGGATGTCCCCAAACTCACTCTGTAGCTAATGATGACCTTGAACTTCCCATCCTCTTGTCTTTGCCTCCCCAGTGCTGGGAATACAGTCATGCTCCCCTATGTCCAGTTCTTGTGCTGCTGGGGATGGAACCCAGGGCCATGTCTATGCTAGACAAATATCCTACCTACTGAGCCCTGTCCGGTCCTCCATTATTGCAGGTACAAGTCCCACTGACCACGCATAGTGTGGTACCTTGGGCCTACCATAGACACCGAGGCAGATGAACACCTGGAAAGACCCTGTTGTTGAAAGCATGCAAAGGAAAGAGGGTAGACGTGTTTTCTTGACTATCGAAGTAATCAGGGTTGATAGGCAGAAATGGAAAGACCCAAGTATGAAGTAGTTTTTAATGAACAGCCAGAGCACTTGCCTAGCATGTGTGAGGCCCTGGTCTGGATCCCCAGCACTGCTTAAAATGATATAAGTAAATAATGAAATGAACCAGGCTAGAGACACAGCTCAAATGCTTGCCTAGCAGGTAAAGCTCTGGTTCAATCCCCAGCACCGCAAAGAGTAGGCAATGCCAGCGCTCGGGAAGTGGTAGCAGGAGGACCAGAAGTTCAAAGACATCCCTGGCTACCCGGCAAGTTCAAGGACAGCCTGAGATACACAAAACCCTGTCCCCAAAATAACTAAGGCCAGGCATAGTGGCACATGCCTTTAATGCCAGCCTTCGAGAGGCAGAGGCAGGTGGATCTTCATTTAGAGGCCAGTCTAGTCTACACAGCAAGTTCCAAGCCTGCCAGTGAGACCTTGACTGAAAAAAAAAAAAAAAAAAAGGATAGGGGCTGGAGAGATGGCTCAGTGGCTAAGAGCACAGGCTCTTCTTCCAGAGGACCTGAGTTCAATTCCCAGCACCCACATGTCAGCTCACAACTGTCTAACACCTGCACACAGACAGACATGCATGCAAAACATCAGTGCACATAAAATAAAAATAACTCGTTAAAAACGTTTTTAAAAGTATATAAATAACATTTTTTAAAAGAACGACTATTGCCGTCCAAGTACAGGAAGCACACCAGTTGGACATTCTTCCCGAGTCTACCTCCCGCTGGGGTCAAGTGTGCTTACGGGTCCTTTGAAAACCGCCTCTCATCTGTAGGGGCCTAGGGGTGTCCATTTCTCTGTAATCATTGTGTTAGCCTCACGAGGATTTGGGGAAGTTGAGTATTATCCCACCTCTCAGATGAGGAAACCGAAACAATTCGCTGCCTATCGAGGGTCTGCAAGTGGGCTTCAAAGACAAGGCTCCTGGCCACCAGGTCATGGTCATGCTGCATTCTAGACAGCCACTGTGACCCACCTCGAGTCTAAATGCCTGCCAGTGTAGAGTGCCTGCATCCCTTTGATTAGCAGTTACAGTCTCACTCAGAGAGCCCTGGCCGCAAACCTAACTGCGTGGTCTTCTAGGCCTTCGACTGCGGTGGTACCGGCAGTCTCCCAGGCTTCAATGGAGTTAAGGATGCATTCCTCGGGCGTTTGCCATGAGAGGGATGTGCTTAGGGCGTCTGGCTGACTGCTCTGAGCTCTCTGCCCTCTGGCTCCCAGGTGAGTTCAGCAGATCAAAGGAAGACCAAATGTCCACTCCGGTTCCCTCCGGCAGAGATCTCAGCTCCTGCAGCCTCAGGCTTGTGTCTCGGCCCAGGTCCTGTCAATGTCCCTTAAACTCTGTCCGCTACATTGCCACACAACTCTGGGCCTCTTTGTCACAGAACTCCTCCAGTTACCCTAAAATGAGTGTGCCTCCCATCATCTGCTGGGACCCTGATTCAGCGAGCAAACTTTATACCCTAAGCAACTACTGTGCACCAAGCATTATTGGGTGCTGTGGGCTGAGCAAAGTCCCTGCCGTCACAGAACTTCAGTCTCAGTGCTGTGGGAAGTTCCTTTTCTTTATTCAAATCACCATAGTAACACAAGCGAGTTGGACCTATTCCTGCGGCCCCCACAGCCCATCCAATAATTACCTATTTACATGAAAGCAGTGAGACTCCAGCAACGTCTGCTGAATGCATAAACAAGCCCAGCACCTCACAGCACCTCATCCTTCAGTGTTTTCTACTCTCCTCCCTCTGAGCCCCTTCAGAGTGTCTCACTGCAGCCAATGGGGCCCCTCAGCACGTCCATGGCTTCCGGAACATCTCAGAATAGCATGCTCCGATGATGCTCAATGGCTAGAAAAATCACTTGTTCCACAGAACAGAAGCAACTTGTTGTGATCAGCACCTGTGGTCACCAGAGAATTACTACATCACTGAACCAGAACCTTCTTTATCACCGATAGGAATGTTAAGGGTCTTAGGCCATTTTCAAATTTCCCTTTCTCCTTTTACATCACCTATGTGTAGCTCCTTCTTGTCAGAAGTGAGCAGCTTCCTCGTTCCTTTCATCCACAGCGTGGTAGCCCAACACGCTGCCCTGCCACAAGGCATTCCAGACCGCTGGGTCGCTTTCCGTGCGAATGGGTGTTGCAATGATCCCCACACTTTACCTTCCTGTACCGGTGTGTAAAGAAACTACTGGAATAAAAGGGGTGGCCACTTCTAATGTCAAGTAAGGCCGAAGCCCCCTCTAATTACAACAAGCAGATGTCCACTCCCCTCAGAATGCAGAGGCCTGCTTGCTTCCCTATACCCTGGCCAACACCAGCCTTAGGAGTCCTTTTCGGCTCTGCCAATCTGATACCTGGACACCTACATCTTGTTATCACCCCGATCTGCGTATCTGCCATCTTCAGGGAGGCTGCATACCCCTCCTCAGTCTGCTGGCTACGGAAGGCCACACATTCAAATCCACCCCTCTTTTGTTTTCTTTTCCTCTGTTGCTTCCTTCACTGATCTGTACAAGCTTCCATGTTTTGGAGACCCACCCGGTTCTGGTGACAGCGTTCCCCGCTAGCTGACACCATCCCAACAATGACTTCGTGAGCTAGTGTCACAGAAGGGACTGATGGAGAACGGCAGGGTCTCTGAAACTCACACAAATCTAAAATAGCTGACCAAAATGCACAGAGAGGATGGGAGACAGGACTCAGCGGCCAAAGTCACCTGCCCCCAACCCTAAGGACTTGAGTTCTATCCCTATGAGACCCACATGGCAGAGGGAGAGGAGCAACTCCTTCAAGTTGTCCTGTGACCTCCACACATGAACTATGGCACCCACTCATGTACACACACACACACACACACACACACACACACACACACACACACACACAAAATGTAATTAATTTTCTTAAACTGTAATGAGTATTAGCCCACAGGGGAAGGTGTACAGATCATATTTTTAGTGAAAATCAACTTGCAAAAAAATATGTAATAATCTCACTTGGTCATGTGAATATACATATTTGTCAAAACTCACCAATTTGTTTACTGAAAATGTACACATTTCACTGTATATAACCCGTGTGTGTGTGTGTGTGTGTGTGTGTGTGTGTGTGTGTGTGTGTGTCTTTGTCTGCGTGTACAAATGATGTGAGCAGGCACATGGGAGCATCCGGGCATATGTGTGAAGGCCAGAGGTCAACCTTGGCTATGTTCCTCCATCACTCCACACCTTGTTTTTTAAGACAGTGTTTCTCATTGAGCCTGGAGCTCAAATCCTCAGCAAGCCTGCTTGGCCAGTAAGCCCAGGGTCCTCCAGTCTTTGGCCCACCCCCTGGAAGTGGAATTACAGACTTGAAATACCTTGTCCAGCCTGTGTAAACAAAACCAAAACCAAAATAATGGCCAGCACTGGAGGAAGGTGGCCCGGTAGCCTCCACGTGCACGCACACAAAGACACGTGAACCTGCACACACGTGTGCACCCACAGAAGCATGCACAGACACACACAACTGCAAACCTTTTTTTAAAAAGATACAAATAAGTTGAAAAGAAAAGGGAAAGGTTAACTTTGTTTTTAAAACATAAAATAGATTTTAAAACCGTGTGTAATAGTGCAGTTTTCTATCATTTTATTTTCAATGTTTACTGAATCTTTGCCTGTGTCTGTGTGGGTGTATGTGCTTGTGAGTGCGGGTACCCACAGAATCTAGAAGGAGGCTGGACCCCTGAGGGTGAAATTACAGGCAGTTGTGGTTGTGGAACTGAACTCCAGTCCTCTGCAGGAGCAGCACGTGCTCTTAACCGCTGAGCCATCTCTCCAGACCCCGGTTTATTTTATTTTTTTGTTTGTTTGTTTTTTTGGTTTTTCGAGACAGGATTTCTCTGTGTAGCTCTGGCT